TTTATTTATTTTATTTTATTTTCTGTTTCTCTGTAGCATTGGCTTCATAACCCCTATTTTGCAGCATCACCTAAGTCAGGATGTCATCCAGGTACAGGAGCATGTACGAGGTCTTCGTGGTACTGCAGCACACAGGTCCCCAGCCCTTCTTTAGACGAGATGGAAGTCAAATTTCCTTCTTGGACCTGGAAGACAGCGAGACCAGCCTGCAGCAGGCACCAAGGGAGAAATGAGGAGCGGTGCCAGGATGGTGGCACGCAGCCTGATGGCCCCGACACATTTTCTAAAGGCTGTCTTTCTGTAGTGTGCTAAAAAATAGCGACGATCTATCTGCAAGATAAAAAGCCAGCTGAGCAACTTGAGAAGAGGAAAACGGGTGAATTAACATCATGCTTATTTTCCTACTTATCAGCCTGACGTGGAGCCACAGAAACTCCTCCCTAACGCACACCCTGTATGGACTATTTTTACACGCCTTTTCACTGCCTTCCACCTACTCACAGAAGTCCTGCCCATGACTTAACACCACTTGACTGCAACTGTTGATCATTTTCACTGTTTTTTGGTACTTTGTGTTGTGCTACGAAGCTGAGAGGTGGCCTGGCAGTGAGAGTGACCCAGCTCCACTTCAGGCATCCTGTGTGAGCATTTTCATAGCTCATCTCTCACCAGCTGTTTTACAGCTTCATGGCTTACGGCTTTGTTTTAGCCGAGCTGCAGGCTGTCCCTTGTCCCCCTGCTCTGCCCTGACCGTCCTGCAGGTAGATGTGCTGGGATCTTGATGCTTGTCTGGGTGAGCGGACATCAATGCCTGCTGCTCATCCATCTCCTGCTGATTATTCCTTGATGCTTGCACACCAGAGAGCCCCATTCACACTAATCTTAACTTCTCTAAGTAAAAAAAATGTTTTTTTTTTTTTTAAAAAAAAAAAAAAGCCTATGCAAGTTCCTCCAGCGAGAAGTTGTAGTCATAAAAAAAATACAGCACGTTAGATGTGGCAGTGTTTGCAGACAACAGTGGTACTTCCTGTGCTCGGAAGCTGAGCAAGTTTCTATTTCAGGCTTTGCTGACTCAAGGGTGAGGTACCCACGCTGATTCAGCAGCTTGGCAAGTCAGGAGAACTTCTCATTACGAATGGCACGAGCAATAAATTTTAAGTTTGCCTGCATCTTACAGACATGCATTTTAAGTGAAGCCACCTCCTGGTGGCAGACAATTTGCCAAATAAGCGGTGATGTCTGCACTGCTTTCGGGGTAGATGGCCACTTGAATGAGACACACATAAAGCCTGCAAGGAAAAGCCTCATCCTGCAGGAGCCAGCGCTTCCCACTCAGCTGGGCCAGGATTTGTCCTTCCTATCGACGTACAATGCAGAAAGACCTTCTATTGCTTACTTGCTTCCATTATCCATGCGTCTTGTCTGGGACATGAAATTGTGTCGGTAATATGAGTGATTTGAACCACAGCTTCAGGAGGATGAAAATACAGCACAGTTAAAATCAACCTGGCTACCTCACAGAAGTAAGAAGAACGCACCACTTAACTTCCTGTGCTTTACAAGGAAAAGGTGCCAAAGCTAATCCTTGTGCTCTTCTTTTATGGAAGAGTGCAATAAGCATCGTGATCAGTTTCTGAATTTAAAGCAGATGGGGTAACAAACCTCCCAAACGTTTTACCTGTCAGCATGCAACCAGAAGTCAGAACAGTGTGCTTCTTATCCAGACACGAGCTCTCTCACCCAGAGGTTGGCAGGGTTCGGAACAAAGCTCTGAATGAACACTACTAGGCCAGCTAGGATGCAGAGGCAGAAATTTGTCTGAAAGTGAGATCCTGCTATCTGGTAAGGTAGGAAATTAGGGAAAGGGGCATTTCTGTTCTCTCTCTCTTGAGCCTTTCTGTCTCTGGATGGACTAAACAGGTTTCAAAACATTTTTTTTCTTAACATTCTTGCTGTTTCCAGAGCCAGACAGGACAAATAGTCTCCATCCATTGCATCCACTGATGCCTTTTCTTCCAGGCTGTAAGTTTTCCTTCGCCAGCATACAATAAAAGCCACAAACTTCTGAATAGCATTCCTCCTCCCCAGCTACTCCGGCATTAATATACTTTGTTGTTCTAGCCAGCAGTTCCCATGTCATATTCTTCTGCCTCCTGAAGGCGGTTTGTGAAGTCTAAAAAAGCATCATGTGGGTTGTCACATTTTAGAACCCCCCCTAAATAGTTTTGCACAGCTCCATCAGATAAGCAGTGAAGTAAAATATTATGAATGTCAAACAAAAGCTAATCAGAAGAGCTGACAAAGCTGTGCCTCTGCGAAGGGAAGCAAATCAAATTCTATAGACTAAATATGTATATTTAGTGGCATGAATTTAAGAGAAATGTGCAAGTAGGATATGCGTTTGCCTAACTATTGCACCTGTAAAGTATTTCCTCTAACTGGGTCTCTGAGAAAGGAAACCAGCCACAGTATATTTTGGAAGGGCGGCCAGAATTCTTTACAGGAAAACAGCACAGCCCAGAACTACCAGGCGCTAGAATTACCCCAGGACTCAAAATCAACACTGCCTGGTAGCTTCCAGCTCGGTCAAGGTGTGCTTCCTGAGACAGTGACCAGGAGGAGGCATCTTCCTTGGAGGGTGCTACAAAACTCACCCACCTACCTCGGAGGGACACAGCAACAGCATTACACACCACAGGGTTCAGCTCTCTCCGGAAAACTAATCAGAATGGAAGGGGGGGAATAACAGATACAGCTTTGAACCACTTCTTGCTTTCTAAGACAAATTTTACTCAACCACTTGAAATAAATACTTACATCATTGGCATTTCTTGATTACCATTTACATGCATTTCATCTGCTTCTCAAATTCAACAGAGATATCTTTGTGACAGAAGCAGAGGAAAAGAATAGCACCCATAACAAGGTCGAAGTTTCAGTCTTTTGGGAGGTAGCCCTAAGTTCTTCCCAGGCAGTAGAGCTAACAAAAATAAATACCAGGCAACTGTTCTCCCTGCTGCACATGTAGCTCGTGTTTGTATGGCAGTGGATGATGGCAGAAGCCGCTGGGGCACGGTGAGGCTGGTGGGCAGCCACTGCGCAGCACTTTGCAGTGATTTGGCTGTTAGAGGTTTCATCTGGTTATTCCAAGGCAGGGCTTGGTTTGGGGGTGAATGGCTAACACCGAGTTACTGCACCAAAGATCAAAAGGAGGAGCAGGATGGGAGCCTGCGGGTAACAAACCTAGTGGAAGCTTCCTTGGGGGAGAAAGGACTCTGAGCAATCCTGAAGTCGGGGTCTGAAGTCAGATGCCTCCTCCAGTCCCACGTCACTGTCCCTCAAGCCAGCATACAATAGCTGGGAAAGAGGAGACCACTTCATTAGCAGAGATCAAAAGCAGTCTCTGACTAGCAGGCAGCCAAAATTTGGGATCATGTGGGTCACTCCATTAAAACTTGTGATGTAGTCAGCATCTTTGATGTGATTCTGTTTATTATAAGAACACACAAAGTCTTGCTTTATTGAGCACGGGGGGAACAAGACATTTCTCTTGCTTTTGGGTCAGAGCTTTGCCTCTGCTCATTCTCTCTCCCCTGGAACATGCCTACCCCATGCCTGACTGTGGGGGTGTCTCCTGCGTGCATAAGAGGGCAATGCAGAGGAGCTGCCCCTCTCCTCTGACCTGAGCACTCATGCACGAGCGCTGTTAAGCACCCGAGCCACCTCCTGTCCGTGTGCTCATACCCTGTGATGCACACACAAGCCACTGCCTGATGGTTTGGCTTTAACGAAGGTGTGATCCCACACCTCCATGCCAGATACTCCTGAAAATTGAATTAAAGCCTACCCAAGCAGGTTTCAGTAGTAAATAACAACCCGAGGGGCTTCATCTTCTGCTGCCTTCCAGACAAGCACTGTTTTACTCACCGACTGTCGGCGTGCTCCTAGTCACTCTGGACCAAAGGAGCTGAATGAAATCACAGCTTTGTTCTTGCCAGAGGGAAATCTCACATCTTCAACAGGAGGAACACTTACCCTGGCATTCTTTTCAACGACATCCTGATTTACTTGCACATAGTAAGGGCTTAAATTATTTCCTATTTCCCCTTTTCTTCCCACCTATTTCAGCTCCTTGCTGGTTCTACCTTTTTCAGAGGGGTATTGCGGGAACGCGGCTGGCCCAGACTGTCAGCTGATGGAGTCTCTGGGAGGGGATAATGACAAGCCAACGCTCTCACAGAGCAAACAGTGTGCTTGCCTCTCAGTGCCTCACATCTGGAGCTTCGAATCGCCCCATCTCAGCAACAACCCAAGTCTTAGAGGACCATTTAGCAATGCTAAATGACACAGGTAGCGTTACCTGAAACTGAGGTCAAGGAATCCCTTCCTTTTCCCAACAAATCTCCCCAATTCCTCTGAACCTTTGGAAGCCTGGCAGCCTGCAGACACCACCCCTCGTGCAGTAACTCGGGGTACACTTGGCGGAGCGCACAGAAAGCTCGCCAGGAGCCCCAGCAGCACTGCCCGTCACCGGGGACCCCCAGCTGCCCTCCTGCCTTCCTCTCGCTGTCCCCTGCTGTATTTCCATGAGGGTGGCCCTGGGGAGAGGCTGGGGGCCGGGGGGCCTCTTATTGACAGCGCCAGGACCCGAAGCCGGTCCCCGGGGGGCGCCTGGGCCCGCTCCGCCGCCAGGAGCCCTCGGGGGCCGGGAGCGAAGAGGGGACAGGAGGGGACACAGGAGGGACAAGGGGGGGACACAGGAGCGACGGGGGGGGCAGGCAGCGCCTGTGGGGACGCGATAAGGAGGCGCGGGGAGCGGCTGGGCGCTGATAGCAGAGGGGGGGGGGGCACCCCAAGAAGCGGCTGTGGAGCAGCACCGGGCCCGGCCCGCTCCGTTACCCCGTCCCCGCCCGGCGGCGGAAAATGGTGGCGAGCACCGCCCCCCCTCCACCCCCCCCCCCTTTCCACACACACACACACCCCTTCCACAGCGGCCCGGCCCCGCCCGGCGGCAGGGGCACGGAGCGGGGCGGCTGGAGCGGAGCCCGAGGGGCGCTCGGTGCCGCAGCCCCGTGCGAGGCCGGCGGGGAGCGGCGGGAGGCGGGCGGCGGGGCCGGGCCAGCCCCGCTGGGGCGGGTGGGGGCCGGCCCGGCGGCGGCGGCAGCAGCAGCAGCAGCAGAAGCAGCAGCGGCGGCGGTGGCGGCCGTGAGGGGAGCGCTGCCCGCCCAAGCGGCCGCCATGGAGCAGCGGTGCCCTCCCGGAGGGGGCCCGGAGCTCGCTCGGCGACGCTGAGCGGGACCGGGCAGGGGGCGAAGCGCAGCGAGCGGCGGGTCCCGGTCCCGGCACCCCCCCACCCCCTCAGCCCTCCCAGCCCTCCCTTCACGGGCGCGGCGCCTCCGTGGCCGTGCGAGGCGGGGGAATATGCGGGGCTGCCCGCCTCGCCCTGCCCTGCCTGCCGCGCCCGGCCCGCGGCGGAGCGCCCCGGCGCTGCCCGGCCGCCCCTCCGAGCAGGCGGCGGGTGGAGACTGAGCGGCACGGCCCCCGGGGGGAGCCCCGCGGGGTGGCCCCGCCGCCGGCGGCTCTCCCGGCCCCGGAGGGTCCGGCTCCGGTTGCTCGGAGCTCCCCGGGAGGAGCCGCCAACATGGCTTCCCCGCCGCACCAGCAGCTGCTGCATCACCACAGCACCGAGGTGAGCTGCGACTCCAGCGGGGACAGCAACAGCGTGACGGTGAAAATCAACCCCCGGCAGCAGGCGGGCTGCGGCTCCTCCAAGCGCTGCAAGTACAGCATCTCGTCCAGCTGCAGCTCCGGGGAGTCGGGGGGTGCCCGCAGGGCGGCCGGAGGAGGCGGCGGCCCCGGCCTCCGGAGGCAGAAGAAGCTGCCGCAGCTCTTCGAGAGGGCCTCGGCCAAGTGGTGGAACCCCAAGTTCGACTCCACCAACCTGGAGGAGGCGTGCATGGAGCGGTGCTTCCCGCAGACCCAGCGCCGGTTCCGCTACGCCCTCTTCTACATCGGCGTGGCCTGCCTGCTCTGGGGCGTCTACTTCGGCGTGCACATGAGGGAGAAGCGGATCGTGTTCATGGTGCCGGCGCTGTGCTTCCTCGCGGTGTGCGTGGCGTTCTTCGCCTTCACTTTCACCAAGGCCTACGCGCGCCATTACGTCTGGACTTCGCTGGTACTCACCCTCCTGGTCTTCGCCTTGACCCTGGCTCCGCAGTTCCAGGCGCTGAATCCCCTCTCAGGAAGCGGCGACATGTCCAACCGCACGCCCCCGGCCCGTCCCGCGGACACTTGTCTTTCCCAAGTAGGCAGTTTCTCCATGTGTGTCGAAGTGCTCTTGCTGCTTTACACCGTGATGCACCTACCCCTGTATTTAAGCTTGTTTCTGGGACTGTCCTACTCGGTCCTCTTTGAGACCTTTGGGTATCGCTTCCGCGACGAGAACTGTTTCGCGCCTCTTGGAGCCGGGGCGATTTACTGGGAGTTGTTGAGTAAAGCCTTCCTTCACATCTGCATCCACGCCATCGGTATTCATTTATTTATCATGTCCGAAGTCAGGTCCAGGAGCACGTTCCTGAAAGTGGGGCAGTCCATCATGCATGGAAAAGACTTGGAAGTGGAAAAAGCCCTGAAAGAGAGGATGATTCATTCTGTTATGCCAAGAATAATAGCCGATGACTTAATGAAGCAGGGGGATGATGAAAGTGAAAACTCCGTCAAACGCCATTCCACCTCAAGCCCCAAAAACAGGAAGAAGAAGCCCTCCATCCAGAAAACCCCCATAATATTCCGCCCTTTTAAAATGCAGCAGATCGAGCAGGTGAGCATTTTGTTCGCAGATATCGTTGGCTTCACGAAAATGAGCGCCAATAAATCTGCCCACGCGCTGGTGGGGCTCCTGAACGACCTCTTTGGACGTTTCGACCGCCTGTGCGAGGACACCAAATGCGAGAAGATAAGCACTTTGGGAGACTGCTACTACTGCGTAGCTGGCTGCCCAGAGCCCCGGGCAGACCACGCTTACTGCTGCATCGAGATGGGCTTGGGGATGATTAAAGCCATCGAGCAGTTTTGCCAGGAGAAGAAAGAAATGGTGAACATGAGAGTCGGCGTCCATACCGGGACAGTCCTGTGTGGCATTCTGGGAATGAGGAGGTTCAAGTTCGACGTGTGGTCCAACGATGTCAACTTGGCCAATCTGATGGAGCAGCTGGGGGTGGCTGGAAAAGTCCACATTTCGGAAGCTACTGCAAAATATTTGGATGATCGTTATGAAATGGAGGATGGAAAGGTGACCGAGCGAGTGGGTCAGAGCGTGGTAGCTGACCAGTTAAAAGGTACGTGCTTTTATTTTGTATTCAGTTCTTTTGTTTTTTTTTCTCCTTTTACGAGGGAATATTTTTTCCCCAGTACGTGTCTTATGCTTGTTGACTTGCAAACTGAACGTGCTTTACACGTATCTCTGCGTGCTGGTGATCAGAAACGCCAAGGGAATTACAGAGTGAAAGATGCCATGGAGATAAGTGTGAAAGAGCTCATGCCTTTTTTTTTTTTTTTTTTTGGAGGGTACTCAAAGCATACTTGGACTTCAAAACTCCTTAAAATTCCTCGTGAGCTTATCGTGTTGTAGGGAGGAGAAGGTTAATGTGCTTGCTGTCTGCAGGAGGTTTTTGTTTGACTGTTGTGTGTCATCCTTTAATTCAGTAAATAAACTTGTTAATTGACTTCATGTGCCATACATACAGCATATGTGTTTTGCAAAATTATGTATATCTGTGAAAAGTTTTTTGGCACCGAAAGAGTTGGGACTGCGAAGGCATTTGGGAAAACTGACAGCTGGATTCACAGAAAGAAGTGAGCACTGCAGATTTGGCAGTTTGATAGCGAGTTGTTACGGTTCGAAGTTAGGCTGGAAAAAGTTACTGGGGTGGTGCAGTGAGCTAGCAGATGCTCTCATTTCTGCAGCTCTAAGGATTTGGGGGATGAAACTGCAAATTTGCAATTCCGGAAAGAAAATGAGGGATTGTTCGGTTCCCCTTATAGCTCGGATAAGGGGCCAAAACTCATTTTTCCACAGAGGGTTCATTTTCAAGTGAACCCCTCGACTGCTTTCCAGCAGAGGTAGCAGCACATAGGGGTGTGTTCAGGGGGATTGTACGTGCTGGGGCTTTCACTCTGGGGTTCCCTGGATAAAGCTGTCCGTCTCCAGCACCGTGCTTTTGTCTCTCCGAGGTGTGTGTGTCTGCAGCAGCGGTGCTCCCAAGCGGAGAGCAGACAAACAAAAATGAGCGTGGACCGCGTTGCAGCCCCTTTTGTGCGACGTGGGTTTGTTTGTTCAGCTTGTGAACGCGCACGTTTCTATAAGGAAAGTGCGGAAAATGGAGTGGAGGAAACCAGAGGAGTCGCAGGAGAGCGTTGTGGTGGGGAAGGAGAGGTTTGTGGCAGTAAATACGAAACGAGGCCAGGATGGTTGTAGGAAGGTCAGCGAGTAAGGACGGGGGGAGAGCGTTGCAAAACAGCGGTAGGAGCGGTGGCGGCGGTCTGCTCGCCTGTGGCAGGTGCTTATTTTGATGTGACACAAATACTTATTTTTGGTGAACTGGCTGTCTGTATGCATATGGCAACAGGGCTGAAATGAGAGGCTTACGGGGAGGGAAAATATCAATAATGACATTGGTGGCTGGAAGCCACGGAGCTGAAGCAGATGTGTGTCCTGAGGCTTTAGCTCTCTATTTGACTTCTAAAAATACAAATTAAGTTAATTTCTTTGAAAACTGTTGACGCCGGGGTGGTTACGTGGAAGGGTACTTTCGAGAAAAAAGGATCAGATATAATCGCTCCGTCAGGGTAACTTGAAGCTTGCCTTTCTCGTGAAAATAAATTACATGATTTCCAGAGAAACAGCCCTGCGATGTTTAAGTTCTTATTTTCCCTCGTCTGTCTATAGCTAAATGCAGTGTAAAGGCTGTGCTGCAGCAGCAAGTGAAATGAAGTGGTTTTGCTAAATTTATTACTGCACTCAGTGTCATTAATCGAAGTGACACAAATTGGCTTGCGGAGACTGATGGTACTGCTCTTCGATATTTTAATGTATTTGTTCGTGTTTTCTAGGAGATCACAAGAGCGCTGCATAGAGCAGTTACGCCCCATGCCAGGAGTGTTTTTTCATGGTCTTCCTCAGACTTGTGTTCTGTCCTTGGTTTCATTTATTGCAAGGAGGCATAGGCTGCTCTCTCTGCAGCGTGCTGATGCGGATTTGGCAGCTTCCAATGCCTTTCACGGGTCCTGCTTTAGCCAGGGCACTACGGATGAACAAGCTGAAATGCAGCTCAGATAAGATGAAGTATGCTTTGTGGATTGACATTTTAATGGTCTCTTCTCACCCTGAAACCTAGCTATGACAGCAGTTGGAAGATGTGGTAAGAATTACTTGAGCAAGGAATTGCTTTAACAAGGGTTATTTTGTTTATTTTTATTTTTTTATTTTTTTCTTTCTTTCCCATCTGTATTTTGTCGTGGAGCTGTAATTAGCTCACGTTTTATTATCCGTGTCTTCTATGGTTACAGAAAGCAAAGCCTGTGTGCACGTGTACGTGTGGTGCAGGCAGCCCCACGCCGTGCCTGCTCGACGTGCAGGTACGCTGCAAGGTGCTGCAGCAGTTGCCCATTTTTTCCTCTTTTCTCAGTCCTTTGCTCCCCAGTGAGCTTACTTGGCTGACAGGTGAATGGCATCAGGGGGAAAAAAAACAACGGGGAAATGGCAATGATAAAAGCAACCTGGCAGCAGTGCCACTGCATAACAGGGGGCTGTGGATTAAAACCAGCTGCAGGGGAGGGTTTTGTTAAGGAGCCACTCTGAGAGTTAATGCGGTGAAGTGAATTTCACCTTGTAATTAATAGTCCTCTGCCAAGCACCTGCTCGGTTTTGTGACTGAAGTACTGTTAGGAAGCTTTGCTTTACTGTTTTCCCTGAGCATTAGTTGATAGCAGCGATAGAGCAGAGGAAGTTTGTTGTGGTTGTTTAATTATGTCATGTGTCGTACTCTTTTCAAGTATCAAAGCACAGCGGAGATAACAGGCATAAGCTTTATTTCCCTACCAATACTTCACTTCTCAGCTTCCTTTCAACCTTTGGTATCTTAATGATATCCTATTTTTTATGTTGTATGCCTAGCCTATTATCTCTTAATTGCTTGAGCTGCCGCAGCGGTCGTTGCTATCTGGCTGAGGCTAAGTCAACATTACCAAGTCAACTCCTCATCCAGCAGGACAGGGGTGCTGAGGGCTTGTGTCCACCTCGGGTAGGTTTTGGGACTTCTGCCTGCACGAGTGCTGCCCTGGCACTCCAGACACGGCGCTGTGCTGGCTCAGGAGTACCCCAGGGTGCTGGTAGAGGTGTGCCCGGAGTCATCCTCCTGCTGCTCTGCTTGGTTGCTGGAATATGCGAGGTATAACCAAGTTTCTCCTTCCCTGTGCTGTTTTGTGTTTCGTTGGAATTTTTAGGATGGAAGCACCTTTTCTTCCTCCTTTGGCTGATCCATGATACGATGCTTCCTCGTCTCCTCATCGCAAGAAGTGCAGCCCCAGTATGTTCCTTCGTGTTTCTGACTTCTGAACTGACTAGATGGTGTTTACAGCCTGCTGATGAGGAAAGAGAGCCACTGATGGCCTTACAATGTCTTTTTGCCTGGCTGCTCATTGTTTTAAGATTGCTTAGGCCTGCTGGCCTAGCAACACCTTGGATTTGAGGGGTTATAGGGGAGCAATGTTGCAGTGATTTTTTTCAAGTCCATAGATAAGCCCTAGAGGTCAGTTTAATTGCATCTTCCATATTAATTTTGCCGTAGGATTTGGGACAATTCACTTTTTCTGTTTTCTTGCTGAGCTTCCTAGCAAATACATGTATTGAGGAATAAGATAGCAAGCGTCACATAATACATGAGATTATGGTGTTAATGTGTCCCTTCAGGACTCTGTGGAGTCAGAGATCTCTTTTCAGGATATAAAAAGTCCTGCTTATGGAAATATTTTTGTTTTGCTCTTGGTTGTTCTTGTTTCTTCTTGGTTGTTTGCATTTCTCTTTCTTGTTACTTAGGAGGTCACAATATTGCTATTTGCCAGCCAGCCAGCAACATTTCCAGAAATACCAGGGTCACCAGCATCTTTTTTTGAGCGCTCAAAATGCGTAAGCATGTTGGGGAAGAATGCTTGCTCTGTTTATGGAGCATAGCACAACGGAACCATGGTTTCATTTGGGACGTTTGCATGTATGCTGTTAGTCTAGTGAGAGTCATTGTTATTAAATTCCCTAAAAAATTCCTGGCTGTTCTGCCTCAAGCCACCTCCTTCAGTTTGTCTCAAGGAATGGCGTTACCCCTGAATTCCTGGAAGCGCTTGGAGATATGGACACAGTTTCTCTATGGTTGCCATTTGCTTCATCATGGAAAAAATGTCAGTGTTTCCTGTGCTCTCCGTCACTGGCTTAGCAGCTCGAGCTGTGCGTGGCCGTGGGGCGCAGGTCTGGTGGTGTGAAAATCCTCCATCACCCGTGGCAGCCGGTGGCTCCAGCTGGTAAAGCGCTCAGAGATCTGGGGCTTAATGTTCTGTTCTTTGCCGTTCTCCGTGCTTCTTCTAATAACTTTAAACGTTTTTAAAGAAAGCAAATCGGTTATAAAATTCACCATTTCGCCTGATATTGCAGCCTTTCTGTGCAGTCCATGAAGGCTGTTATTTCTCCATAAACAGCCCGGCTGCGTGGAGGCGCGGTGGCAACCTCTGGCTGACGGGATGCGCGTCTCTGCGCCAGGCCTGCCTGGTGACCTGATACTCTGCTGCTCTTCGGGTTTAAGTTACAGGGAGGCAGGGCTGGTGTTCCTGAGAGAAAAAAGTCTCAGATAAGGTTATGTGGAGGTAAAGCATTGAATTTTTCTTCCCTTCATCCCCTCTTGCAGATCAGGTGAGACCATCAGGTGATGGCAGTGAAATCTCCCCAGCCTGCCCATATTTCTCTTTTTGCAGTGCTGCATACAGGGCACCCGTGCAGTTGTGTGCTTCTCCAAGCTCATAGGAGGATGAAAAATAAGATGGAAGTTTCCCTGAACTTCCTGAGCCCGGCCTGCTGTAAATCTAGAAGGCTTGTGCTTGTGCCAGTAGGACAGCTCAGCAGAGAGCTCCGTGCGGGTTCGTCTTTGCTGCGTGACTTGGCTAAAAGCAGCTTTAGTCCCTAAAGAGGAGTTTTTAGTGAATAGTCAGTTTATCATTTTTATATTGTCTGACCTATAAACTGTTATTATTGAGGTGGAAGTCCACGATCTTGTTGTCAAGTGTGACTGAAAAT